TATGTTGATCATTGTGATTGGTTCTCCCTTACTCCCAACCTCTTTCCCTAAGCCTCCTAGTATTGCTACTCTCATTCATTATTGGTCCTGAGGGGTTTATCTGCCCTGAATTCCCTGTGTTGTGAGCTTGTATCTGTACCAGTATACATGTTCTGGTCTAACCAGATTTGTAAGGTAGAATTGGGGTCATGAGAGTGTGGGCGGACGGGAGAGCATTAAAGAACTAGAGGAAAGTGTGTGTTTCATTGGTGCTATACTGCACCCTGACTGGCTCGTCTCTTCCTTCTGGCCCTTCTGACAGGGGATGTTCAATTGACTACTGATAGGCTTTGGGTCTCCATTCTGTCCTCCCCCTCATTCACATTGATATGATTTTTTGTTTTGTTTTGTTTTAAGTCTTTGATGCCTGATACCTGATCCCATTGACACCTCATGATCGCACAGGCTGGTGTGCTTCTTCCATGTGGACTTTGTTGCATCTCAGCTAGATGGCCGCTTGTTTATCTTCAAGGCTTTACTACCCCAGATGCTATATCTTTTGATAGCCAGGCACCATCAGCTTTCTTCACCACATTTGCTTACCAGTGTGCAACTTTTAGATATTCATATAAACCCTCTTCTAATTCAAAATGGAAAGAGACAACAGGTAGGCTTTCAGATCAGCTGAAGCTCCAGGTCATTGAAATTAGAGCTGCAGAATCGATACATTTGAAATAGGGTGTTAGTGAAGAACATTGAAAGTTCTGCTAAAATAACAAACAGATTTGTACTGGAAGAACTATTGCCAGAATGCTCCTTAGAGGCAAGGATGGTGAGCCTTTGTCTCATGCACTTTGGACATGTCAGGAGAGACCAGTCCCTGGAGAAGGACATCATGTTTGGTAAATTAGTGGGGCAGTGAAACAGAGGAAGACCTTTGACAAGATGGATTGACACATTGGCTGCATGGACGGGCTCACACCTGAGAACAATTGTGATGATGGCACAGAATCGGGCAGTGTTTCGTTCTGTTGTATGTCAGGTCACTATGAGTTGGAACTGACTTGATGCCCCTAACAATCATGACAACAGCAGAAAACCAATTCAAGAAGTCATCTTCCATGAAGTCACCCGAGCAAAGATTTCAGACCCAATCTCCACTTTTTCTTCCTCACCTCCTTCTAATCAATCATAAGTCTTGTCAATTTTTTTATTTTAATTTTTTTCATGAATATGTTGAGCAAGGTCTACAAGAGAAAAGATTAAATGTACATTTATATGCAGGTGGTCGAGTTTATTATTAGGAACTTGAGGTGATTTTTAAAAATAATCAGGTCTAATCTACTTTCTAATTAGTTACTGAAATAAGGACATTTGGATCAATTGTTAAAATTGCTAGTCATCCTTTGGTCTTTGGCATATAGCCAGTCAATTTATAGATTTTCCTTTTCTAACTAGCATGTTTTGGAAGCTCTTATGAAAATGACTGTGCAGAGTTAGGGTCACTATTGGTGTTTTCCTGGGGTGCTTTTGCTGAGCTGAGGTCAGCATTTTGCTCCTACCTGATTGAAGTCTGTGTGTGTGTGTGTGTGTGTGTGTGTGTGTGATGTGCAATTATGTGACTGTTATTGCTTATCTACTGATGAATCACAATGAAGCCTAATTTACTTTTTGAAGAAAGTCTTGATTCTGCCTTGAGCCACTCTTTCGCTGCATTTATGGTAACCTTCAGTCCATTTTTCTGTTCAAGAGTGAAGTCACTTTAAGTTCTTCACAGACAGATGCCAATTTTGCCTCCATTTCAATGGGCCCTTAAACTAGACTTAATTCTTCTTAACACAGAGTAGCTGTCACCCACGGAGGAGAGAGGAAATGCCATCTTTATCTCATTGCCTCTAAAAAGCCAGGGAGAAGCAGAGCTTCCAGAGAATTACCTGATGACTGTTGTCTCTTCATTTCTAGACACTGGGAAACAAAATGTCGATCCTTGAATCTCTACTATATTCCGTGTATTGTTAGTACTTTTCTTGCATTGGTTCACTTACTCTTCCAGCAATACTTGAAGGAGAGTTCTATTTATTTCCTCCACTTTAAAGATGAGGAAATCTAAACACACAGAGCTTTAGTCGCTCACCGAAGGATATGGAGTTAATAAGTGGCACAGAAAGAATTTGAATTTACCAATTTGACTCTATGGCTTGGGCTACTAACCATTGTAATAGCAGTGCTTTGGGTCTCCTATGATGGAAGGAAACTGAAGACAGAGCCTTGGGAATCATTACTGTATGGGTGGCAGGGAGAGCAGTTTCGGATGACAGAGATTGGAAGAAAATGGTCAGTGAGTTAGGGCTAAAACCAAGGATCGACAGGACAGAGAGACATTATTTGTTCCCCTTGAGTGGGGTTATATAGTCATTGCTATCAGCCCCCCCCCCCCCCCCGTTTTCTGTACCCTCGGAATCATTACTCCCGTTATTATTTCTGAAGGGTTTATCTATCTTGAATGTCATGCATTAAGCGATCTTAATTAAACAAAAGAACATTTGCAGGTCTAACATGATTAATAAGGTAAAACTAAGACCATAATAATAGGGGGAAGAAATATTAAAGAACTAGAGGAGAGTTATGTGTTTCAACAGTGCTATACTGCATCCTGGATATGTCATCTCTTCCACATGGCCCTTCTGTTAGGGACTGCCCAATTATCATACAGGGGGTTTTGAGGTCTCCACCTTGCCTATGCTTCTTCACATCAATTTGGTTGCTTGTTTTTGAACTTCTGATACCTATTCCTGCCAACACCTCATGATCACACAGGCTGGTGTGCTTCTTCCATGTGGACTTTGTTACTTCCCTGCTAGATGGCTGCTTGTTTAATTTAAAGCCTTATAGACCCCAGATGCAATGTCTTTTAATAACCCCGTGCCGTCCTTTTTAAAAAAATCATTTTATTGGGGGCTTGTACAACTCTTATCACAATCCATACATACATCCATTGTAAGTCAAGCACATTTGTACATTTGTTCCCCTCATCATTCTCAAAACATTTGCTTTCTACTTGAGCCCTTGGTATCAGCCTCCTCATTTCCCCCTCCCTCCCAGCTCCCCCCTCCCTCATGAACCCTTGATAATTTATAAATTATTATTATTTTGTCATGTCTTACATTGTCCGACATCTCCCTTCACCCACTTTTCTGTTGTCTGTCCCCCAGGGAGGAGGTTATATGTAGATCCTTATAATCAGTTCCCCCTCTCTACCCCACCTTCCTTCCACCCTCAGTGGTATCGCCACTTTCACCACTGGTCCGGAAGGGATCATCTGTCTTGGATTCCCTGTGTTTCCAGTTCCTATCTGTACCAGTGTACATCCTCTGGTCTAGCCAGATTTGTAAGGTAGAATTGGGATCATGATAGTGGGGCTGTTGGGGGGGGGGGAAGCATTTAGGAACTAGAGGAAAGTTGTATGTTTCATCATTGCTATACTGAACCCTGACTGGCTAGTCTCCTCCGCGCAACCCTTCTGTAAGGGTATGTCCAGTCTGCAACCCCCCTCCTTCACAATGATAGGATTTTTTGTTCTTTGATACCTGATCTCCAAGCAAAAAAACCTTGCTCAAGATAACTTTAAAAGCTTGCAGCAGTGCGTTGACACAGAAGAAAAATTCAAGCTGGATTCAGAAAAGGACACAGAAGGAGGGATATTATTGCTGAAAGCAGAGAATACCAGTAAGATTCTTGCCTCTGTTATATTGACTATACAAAGACATTCAGCTGACTCATTATGTGGCTCATTGGGAAGAATCAGAATTCCAGAGCACATTCTGGTACCCATGCTCAACCCTACATAGACCCAGAAGCAGTTGCTCAAACAGTGGAAGAAGATATATCATGGCTTAAAATCAAGAAAGGTATGTGTCGGGGTTGTATCCTTTCAGCATACTTATTCAATCTGTTTGCTGAACGAAGCATTGGAGAAGCTGGACTGTATGAAGAAAAGCAGGCCATCAGGATTGGAGGAGGGCTCATTAACTACCTGTCACATGCAGCTGACACACCTTTCTTGCTGACATTTAAAAGGAGTTGAAGTACTTCACTGATGAAGGTCAAGCGCCAGAGCCTTCAGTAGAGACTACCACTCAATAGAAAGAAGACAAAACCCCTTACAACTGTAACAATTAGCAACATCGTGGTAAACGCAGAAATGGCGGGAGTTGTAAAGGATGCTTTTGGGTCATACTCCATGCCTGGGGAAGCAGCGGTGAAGAGAGCAAGTGGCCCACTGCAGCTGGCAGACCTACCTGCGGAAAACCGGTTCACGTGTCAGAAAGCAAGATGCCATTGTGAGGGTTAGTGGTGCCTGACTCAAGCCAGGGAATTGCAGTCACCTCATATGCATGCGCATACTGGACACGAAATTAGGGAGACTGAAGGAGAATTGATGCATTTGAACTGGAGGTACCATGGACTGTACCATGGACTGCAAAAAAAAAAAAAGCTGCCTGGCAACAAGTCCAGCCCGATGGCTTCTTGGGAGCAAGGACGGCAAGACTGCAGTTCAGACTGTTTGGTCACGTCGTCAAGGGCGACTCGTCCCTGGAGAAGCCATTCTGCGCGATACAGTAGAGGGTCAGTGAAAACGGGTAAGACCCTCCCTGGGACAGATTGGCATCGTGGCTCACACGAAGGGAGTGATGAGGACCGCACAGGACTGAGCAGCATCTCCTGTTGTTCATCGGGTTTCTTTGAGTCCTAGCGAATTGGGGGACAACAAGCAACAAAAGCCTCTTCAAATGGTATATGGTACTGACTTTCTGACACACGGTAATAAAAACCAGACTGTGGGCTTTATTGCTGTTTTTGACTGTCACTACAGTGAGCCCTTCTAGTCTTCATCGGAACACTACCAACTGCGTCTCTTGGCACACCACCGACATCTAGTTTTCAATGAAGAGTAAGAGTGCTTCGAATTATTGTACAACTAAAATATAAAATGTATTTAAAATTATCTTCCTGTTTTATAGGCTGGTGACTATTTCTCAAAGGCTTTAGTGTTTGATCCCAAAGATGATTGTGCACTCATGAATCGAGCTGTTATAAATACAATATTAAAGAAATATGAAGAAGCAGAAAAAGATTTTGCAAATATAGTAGACAACTGTCCCCTCTGGGCTGCAGTATATTTTAACAGAGCAAACTTCTACTATTGTTTAAATCAATATGAAATAGCTGAGGCAGATCTTACTAAAGGTATGTTGCTTCATTATTTCTTGCTAAGATTACGTTCATTGGTAGGTGTCTTTGTTTATAGACCAAAAAGGAAGACAATAGGCCTATTTACCTAAATGCACATAAAAATTTTTTTTAAATATCCTATCTTTAATGTGATCACTATAAATTGCATGCAATATCTTAATTTCAAGTTTTGTTAAATTGAGATACAAAGCATTATTAGGAAATCATACACAAACAATATCAGGCTTTCAAGATGGGATTGTTCTGTTTCCCTAGGTTGCTTTTATTAGAAAAGTCAGTATTTTAAAATTAATTAAATAATTCGGAACATTGTAAGAAAATTGTTTTCAAATAATTTTTATTAAAGTTTACATTGCACTTTTAAATATATGAGACTATTTTTGGGTTCTAGCATAAAACATATCTTGACATTTATTTTCTTCTTTTGCAGCTCTATCTTTGAAGCCTAATGATCCTTTGGCATACAATCTTAGAGCAAAAGTTCGTGGTAAGATAGGTTTGATTGAAGAAGCTATGGCTGATTATAACCAAGCCCTGGATCTTCAAGAATATGCCTCAGTTATTTGATTACATAGACCACGGCTTCTGTAGTAGTTTTCACAGCTGTTCTTCCTGAAATTAAAACATAGTTGTTGTTTAAATATTGCACTGTCTTAAATGCTGTATTCCTTATACTTCGTCTGCTACATAGCTATTATTGAAACAATATATTTGTTCCACATTAATTGGTTCATACAGTATCCTTTCACTGAAAATATTTAAAATATTAAGAAACATTTTGTTTCGCATAAATTCTGCACAATGAAGAACTGGAATTATCTATCTTATATTTGGGCTGCCAAATATGTTTAGGAAAGGCACAACAAAGAACTTGCTGCACATTTTGTAGATCGTGTCAGCTGGGACATCACTCAATTGTAGCACTGTTCCACTTAACTCTTTTTAGCTGAAATATCTTTTCAGATGGACTCCTCGGTATTAACTGAATTCATTTAAAAAGAAGGAACTTATAAAAATAAATGTAACTATTAAAATTTCTCCCTTGTTCTACACCAACACATATCTTTCTCTTGAGTGTTCCTCATATTACATTTTGGGAAACAAAGTATTCCATAGCATTGCTTAATGGGTGCATGCAGAAGAGTAGTCACAATGAGGGAGGGAAATAGATAGAGTGAATACTTGCAGTGGGTGAGGGAGAGGGGGTGAACAAGAAGTGTAAGTTGATTGGCACGTGGATAAACAGATTGGAATCATAAACAGAGATCTTTTTTTAATTACAAATTTAAATAAGAGTTTACTTTTGAGATCATTCCTCATCTGCCCCCTGACTTATTTTCTCTCTCTTGTGGACAGTTGTCTTTGATTTCACCCAAGTTAACACCTGTCAACATGCTAACCTATTGTTTTATTTTGCCTCTTCTGCCACCCGTCAGCAGCTAGGTAAATTCCAAGTCTGTTCCCTTTGCTATGATAGTCGTGAACGTCTTGTTTTCTTTATAAGAGTGGTCCAGAAATTCTTGGAGCCTTCTTTTGGTTTTCAGAGCAACTTCAGCACCAGTGGTTCTTGATGGAATACCAATTGAAATGTTTCAACAAGCTGATGATACAGTGGGAGCATTGACTGGTATGTGCCAGGAAGTTTGGAAGACAGCTACTTGGCCAACTGACTGGTGCGATCCATATTTGTACCCTTTCCAAAGAAGGTGACCCAACAACATCGTTTAAGATCAGGAGAAGTGTGTGTCACGGATATATCCTTTCACCACACTTATTCAATCTGTCTGCTCAGGAAAGATCAGAGAAACTAGATTATACAAAGAAGAATGTGGCATCAGGAAGGAAGGCTTATTCACAGCTTGCAGTATACAGATGACACAACCCTGCTTTCTGAAAGTGAGGAGGACTTGAAGCACTTGCTGATGAAGATCAAGGATTGTAGCCTTCAGTATGGATTACAACTCAATGTAAAGAAGACCCAAATTCTCACGACTGGACCAATGGAGAAAAGGAGGAAGTTGTCAAAGAATGCCTCTTGAGTGGACCCATAATCAAGGCTTTGAAGCAGTAGTCAGAAGATCAAATGCATTGCATTAGATAAATCTGCTGCACAAAACCTCTATAGAGTATTGAAAAGCAAGGATGTTACTTTGAGCACTAAGATGTGCCTGAACCAAGCCAAGTCATTTTCAATTGCCTCATGTATGTGAAAGTTGGACATTAAATAAAGAAGACCAAAGAATGCGTTTGAATTGTGCTGGTAAATAATACTGAAATTACCCTTAACTATTAAGAGGACAATAGATCTGTTTTGGAAGAAGTGCAGTCAGAGTGCGCCTTAGCGGCAAGGATGTCGAGACTTGGTCTTACAGACTTTGGACGTGTTGTCAGGCAAAAGCAGTCCCTGGAGATGGACATCATGCTTGGTTAAATGGAGGGGGCAGTTAAAAAGAGGAAGGCCCTCAATAAGATAGATTGACCCAGTGGCCGCCACAATGGGTTCAAGCATAGGAAAAGTAGTGAAAATGTCTCGGGATCAGGCAGTGCTTCCATCTGTTGTGCATAGGGTGGCTATGAGTCGGAACCACCTCAATGGCAACCGACAACAACAACAGCATAAGAGTGGTCTCATATAATATTTGTCCTTTTGGGATTGACCAGTTCCACTCAGCATAATGTTCTCCACGTGTATCCATGTTGGGAGGTGCTTCTTGGTTTCTTCATATTTTCTTTTCTTTTTTAGAGATGAGTGATCTTCTTATCGTATATGTTCCCTATACTGACAACGACAGTAAAATAGCAAATTCTGGAGAGGGAGAGGCTTGGGGACGATGGGAACCCCCGTACATGTTGGGAATGTAACGCGAGGTGCTAGCACCATGGAGAGCAAGAGAGCATGGCCTCCAACAACTGGGAATGGAAATTCATATGATCCAATAATACATTTCCTGGATATATAGCCACAAGTCATAACGGACGGACATGCATACCCATGTGCATTGCAATACGGTTCATAATAGAAGCAACAATCTTGAGATTTGATAGTCTCAGTCTACATTCTGAGCATGTTGAAGTGATAAGATCAGACTCTCAGTGGTTCTTCAGTGTCATAAGACATGTTTACTAATCAATTTCTTAGAATCCCTGGTTTCCAGAAATAAAAGCTAAATGAACATCTATCTTAAGATCCCAGACAGTGCTAAAAGCTCTTCCTTTTCTGTCCCCCTTAATACTTCAACAGGACTATTACCTATCCTTTCGAACCACCTTTGACATCTGTATATAATTGTTTAATGATTGTCTTTACCACCAGACTGGAAACTCTCTGAAGGTAAGGATTGCATCTATCTGGCTTACCACTGTTACCCACCCCTGTGATTGCCATAGTGTCCGGTGCATAGCAGGTGCTTCATAAGTATTCCATGAATTTCTTTAAACAGCAAATAATGCTAAATTATGACCAAATAGACTAGGAACAGATGCTTTGGGTCTTCTTTTCTACAATAAAACTAGCATCATATGAGATTCTTAGGAAGCCCACAATCTTCAAAGGTCAAAGCTTTGACAGCCTACCTCCTCCATTTTCTTTTAATCTAAGATCTCCTTTGAATAGAGATCCTTAGCAGCCATCTTGCATATTGCCTAACTTACATGTACACATGTATGCAGGCAGGCACATAGACACACATTCATATAGGGCATCCTTTGGACCACAAAAAATTAACCTGAGAAAAAGAACTTTGGAAAAATCACAAGTAATAGATGATATCAATCTGCAGTAAAAATGACCTACTGTAAGGATTACTCAGCTAGTAGGTGGCTGAAAAAACTGTCAAGGGTGATGAGGATGTAATGTCTGAAATCATGAGGTACCTTATGCTAATCATTGTAATTTCTATAATTGGATGACGCTATACTATACATGAGATCAAACTGCAACCCAATTAAGTATAGTGAATAAAAGACTAAAAATTTTAATATGTACTAATCAAGGGCCAGGGTGTACGTTGAATCTAGAATAGGGGAGCACGTGGTCAGAAGGCAAATTGTGACTCTATACCAGGTCCTGGGCCTGTTTGCTGAAGAGCAGGCAGAGACGTGTCGATTTTTGACCTCTCAATCATTGACATATTCCCATGAGTGTACGCGGAATATCCCATTGTTATAGCTTGATTCCAATGAGCCATTAAGACTATTCAACTAGTCCCTCCACCCTTTTCTGATTCTGCTTCAGAAACCTAATTGTCATTTTTTATATGAGCATAAATAAATTGCATATATTAAAAGGCCCTCAGTTTTGGAAAAGGTTTGCACTTGACTGCTAACATGTGTAATCAAACCACCCAGCAATGCTGTGTAAGAAACATCTGATGCCCTGCTCTGATCTGCTTCTGTAAAGATTATAGCCAAGTAAAGCCTATGGACCTTGATAGCTGTTCCATTAGACACGGAGTTACCAGGCAATAAGTAAATAAATAAATATAATTATGGAAAGAGGCTTCCAAAAGTTCTTCGAAAAAAATCCAGCACCCTTTGTTTTTTCTACAGACTCCTCAGTGCCTCCCTATAACTGTGCAAATTACGATAGGGTTGTTGCCTCCATCTCGACGCTCTGCACTTGGTAGTTCTGCAGCCTCCGGTTGATTGATTTTTAATCATTGAGCATGTCTTTGTTGTATAACACGAAAAATATAAAAATGTCTCCCTGGCCCCTAGCAAGTGAAATAGCTTATTATGGGACAACGACTAAACCTGTAAGAGATTCATATGGCCTTTATCCCAGGCGGCTGCAGTGAACTGTGACCTGCCATTGGGGGGTGCAGCCCCTCCTCAAGTTGAACTGGTTCAAGCAGGTATTGACCACAAAGCATCTCAGTTCTCTCTCTGTACTGTAATCATCTCTTAGGAAAAACTCAGCTGCAGACAATCTTTTCTTAAAATGCCCAGGAAAATGATTATTATCCTATAAATGACTATAATCCTCTAAATTTCCAAGGAAAATAGAATTTCTTCTGTTTAAAACTAAGTGGGTAAATTGGGATCTTTTATCTTCCTAGTACTACCAAAAAATCAAACCAGACTCGCTGCCATCCACCCGATGGAGACTCCTAAAGGCCCTATAGGACAGAGAACGGCCAGAAGTTCAGGCCAGTTTCTGAAGAGGATATGGAACAAGGCATATCATTGCTATTATCACATTGATCTTAACTCAAAGCAGAGAATACCAGAAAGATGGTTGCTTGTGTTTCCTTGACTGTGCAAAAGCATTCAACTGTGTGGACCATATTAGACTGTGGGTGACCTTGAGAAGCATGGGGATTCTGCAACACGTAATAGCAGTCTTCTTAAACTTGGACAAGGACCAGGAGGCAGTTGTGCACACAGAGCACAGGAATCCTACCTACATGGTTTAGAATCAGGAAAGGTGTACACCAGGGTTGTTTGTTCTCACGATACTTGTTCAATCTATATGCTGAAAAAAAATCATCAGGGAAGATGGATTTTATGAAGAATACAACATCAAGATTGGAAGAGGCTTATGAACAACTGCAATGAAACAACCTTGCTTGCTGAAAGTGAGCAGGAACTGGAGCACTTGCTGAT